ATAGTTATATATCTTTCAACGATAGAGCCGAACAACACGAAGTAAAACAGGCAATCGAATAAGAAAATTACTTAGCGATGGCTTTTTTTTAACAAAAAATTGTTATACTAATGTACTGTCTATTTACTCTGTCCATTATTCTTATGCCAGTATGTAAAAGTAGCTTTAAGCCCGCGGCTCCGCCCGCGTTGAAGTGCTTTAATAAAAATATTTAAAAAAAAAAAAAAAGAATCCTATGTCCTTTTTAAATACCTCTAAGAATATGTGTACAAAGTTTCATTATAATTGGTTCCGTAGTGTTGGCGTGAAAGCTCAACAAACAAACTTACATTCACATTTATAATATTAGTAGGGATCGTGTAATGCCCTTAAGTTGGGATTTTTAATTAGCCACCTGTTTTTATGCTGATTTATTAATCTCTTGCATTAGCCGTAAGATTCCCTACAAGTGTATTATAAATTAAAATGAAAATAAATGCCATAGCTTGTTTGTATTCGTAACTTTTTCACGGAGCAACGCCTTACGCTTAACGTTTTTCGATCCCATTTGAAAATTAAGCAATGTTTAGACTAGATTTAACAATAAAGTGGTTGACCCGTGCGAAATTTTGGTACAGTACCAAGTATTAGTCACCGAATGGTAATGTAATAATGTTTAAGTACCTATTTATCAATAACAGGTATCTTATTCTGAATAATAATGTTTATCAGTCTACTTCGCTATCTTTCATTTGAACGAAATGTAAATAGATTGCCATCTATGATACATTTTTTCTCAGAAACAAACGAGTTTCTTTATGAAAACATTAACTACCTACATTCCGTCTATTTGGTTTCGACAATAGTGGTAAACATTAGTTTCAAAATCATGTGTGTGAATCATTAAATTTGATGAATAATTTTCGCCATCTTTTTCGAATCAGCGTACTATCGCATCTTTAACCCTCGGGTGTGGCAGATGTCCATGGGCGGCGGTATTCAATTTTCGCATGATCCCGGAAAGGTGCACTGACAAAAACATCTTTGAGAAATAATATATTTATAGAGATAGGATAATTATGATGTATCCCGTAAAATTATTTGTTTTATTTCATCACTATCTAAAATTCAGTGGGGGCCTAAGTTAGTTGCCTATATAAGATTCGAGTATTAATCTCACATCTATTCTTTATATGGAAGAAGGAAACATATATCGTTCACAATATATTCGTCTATGGTAGGCCGCCGTGAACTTAGGTTTAGAAAATTAAATTATCGGGCCTTATATATAAATGTTCTTGTATCTTGTATTAACTGATGTTTGTGCTTTCAGTCCCGAGACTATTAAAGCTTCATCTGACGCAGAACCTGTGGGCTAGCCAGAACCCACGGGTTTGGGCCCTCCGCGTTGGGTAGGGCCATGCATGTGCTCATGCGGATATAAATGTTCTGTAACAGTTCTGTGATTCAGATTGTACAAAATCGATTTTATTTCACGCAATCGTGTTTATGAGATAAATTTAATTAAGATTCAATCAACTGTTGGCATAATACCAGCATGTTTGGCCAATATGCCAAAAGAATATCATTAACCTTAATAACTAATATGTATCCATTGATGCTTGTGATTTTTAAAACTTTGGGAAAAATATTTTGGTATTTTGTACAGTTGTCATCATGTATAGCAATACACTTTATGTACACAATTTATTAATGTAACATTAAATATTGTAATTTTCTTATTTCTCACTTTAAATTCCACTGTCCCAGATTTATGTCGATTGCTTGCCGGTGCTCAACAACTACGTCGCTTCAAATTTGACCGTGAACTGAGACATCTGGATAATGTACTTCAACCCCTATCCGTGTTTATTTCCTGGTTGTTTTTTTTAATGGTGGATTTTTAAAACTTTTACGGCACTTCCGGTTTACTTAACGTATAACATCAACTGGCATGCGCAATACCTATTACCCTTTGACATTATATTCAGGCATATTTCATAATATTAAGAAATTAACGGATAAATAAAAGAATACTCAATGATATAATTATATAATATATGATATACTCGAGCAACCCGAGTAACCCGAGTTCCATCCCCGGTGCCGGCAATGACGTTTTTAACTTTAGTGCTGAATTATCACGTGCCCCGCGGTGAAGGAAAACATCGTGAGGAAACCTGCACATTTTCGAAATAATAACAAAAAAATATTTCGAAGGTATGTTAAGTCCGCCAATCCGCAGTGGGGCCGCGTGGCGGACAATGCCCTGACACCCTCTGTATAGAGAAGGCCTTTGCCCAGCTGTGGGACATGTAATACTGTCACGTTTACTTTACTACTACTATGCGAATCCACTACGGATCGGTAGACTTCACACATTTTCAAAATATAATTTTTTTGTTGTTATTTCTAAATTGTTTTTCACCACCGCTAAACACGCGATAAAGCGACACTTACAATTGTTGTTATCAACATTTTCATTGGTGCCGGCACCGGTATTTAGACTCAGGTTGCTCGAGCGATTGAGCTAAAGGCGAAGGCGCGGACATGCATACAGTGAGCACACCCGAAATACAGCGGTTCAATCATAGTATAGCAGTTAGGTTAATACAATATAGCGATAGAGGGTTAACGGTAATTTCTGTAACAATCCATGCTCTGGCACCATAGATATATTCGAAACATGATGTAGAGTCAAGATGTCGTAAGCTCACACGTCGCTATAAACGTTCAAGTTTATCGGATTCGGATTATGTTGTTGTTTCGAAAGTACTCCGCTAGTACAAAGGTACCTTCTGCTCTTCTTCTAGTTGGCCCTTTCATCTGCGATCGTTTGAAATTCGTGCTATGAATATAAACGTTCACTATCTACTGCTTTGATTTAATTTTATCGACGATAAAAACACCGTAAACTCTTTTTCTTATACGATACCAAAAGTTTTGGAAAGGCAGAAATATGAATGTGCTTACGTATTCTGAAAAAATACAAAAGTTTATTTATAATACTATTCTTGACGAATTTATTTGAATCTTGAACTAAAGAATATTCTCGATTTCCGTTGCTCTATTAAAAGGAAATGTGGACTGAAATACATTATAGTATTCATATATATACATCATATATTTCAAATTTTTTGAGTCAGACTTTAATATTTTATTTCACTAATACAACAGGCTATACTGGTATAAATCCTAATGTTAGGCAAAGATCTCCTTTCAACGCAGGTTATTATAGCATTTTTCACCATGCGACCTCACCACGGACTGGTGGACACATTTTCTGACACATTTTTTTTACACAACTTTCTCTAGTCTCAAACTAAGCAATGCAACCAGTACTAGAAAACTGATGTACATACTTAATCTTTTCTTTTGTTAATAAATACATATTATACATATAGAAACACCCAAACACTAGAAAAACACTATGTTTATCACACAATATTTTCCAGTAGTGGGGATCGAACCCACACCCTCTGGCGCAAGAGGCAGGCTCACTACTTCCCCACGCCATTCGGGTCGTCATCAGGGAATTCACATAATGTTCCTTCGAAATGTATATTTTTTAATTATTATTTTGAAAATATTCAGGCAATATGAGAGATCCTCAAATCAAATCAAATATATGTATATTTATTCAAAAATACGCTTGCGCGTTGTCATCAATCGTCAAATTTTAAATCAAAAATCATGTACATAGTTTTAGATTATGGTCGTAAGGTACCACCGGTTCGGAAAGCAGTTTCTGTTGAGAAGAGACCGGCAAGAAACTGAACAGTTGCTCTTTTTCAGAAGTATCAGTTTACAATATAACATACAGGTATAATAAAAGTCTTATTCTAGCCTACGTGAGTATCAACAGCACTAACTCCACACATTGGCGTCGTCGAGATATTCCGCAATGGTATAATATGCTTTACCCATAAGTTGACTTTTAATTTTACGTTTAAATTGATCAAGCGGCAGACTTAATATCGACTGTGGGCTTTTATTATACATGCGCACATTCTGCCCCATGAACGACCTGTTTATTTTTTGTAGACGAAATAATGGCGTAGTAAGTTTGTCCTTATTTCTAGTGTTTATTTTGTGTGTTTCACTATTCTTTAGGTAATAATTAAGGTTATGGACGTATATACAATATATTACAATGAATGTATTGAGAAGCAATCAAGAATAAAAAAAATATCACGAAGCCTCACGATTCTGCCCGCCCGGTTTCTGAAATTAACTGCTTGTTAAATGTCATCTGAGTTTTCGAATTGATCCAAAAGGCAAGGTTGAACCATCGTTTTGGCAACTCAAATGACATTGAACAAGCCATTTGACAACTGATTAGTTGATTTCTACGTTAATCAGTCTTTCAGAAACTGGGCGTTAGAATTTCAATTGACATTTTCATAGTTGTCACCCGTGCTGCGATTTGATCTCGTATTGCTCGAATACATTGGATCACATGCCAGTACTTAACTTGGTTGAGTTACTTTTATTCGATAAATGAACTAGGTCGGTAAAATAATAAATTATCTTCAAGACATTCCACATTACATTGACAAATGACGCAGGAAAATTGTCTCACTCGTTTTTTGCTGTTTGATAATTAAAATCTAAATGTAGCATGTAATGTAATATTTTGAATGACTGTTTCAGTTGTTATAATATGTCTGTGGCCTCGATTCTAAAATGCTCTAAAACCTGTTACACTTATTAAGTGTTTTGTATTTTATGTTTGTGGTTTGCGGTCAACTTTACATTGCTCTTTCTAGGTTTCTTTTCTTTCCTTGTTGCTATTCATTAAGGGTTGAATGAGGTTAGAATTTTCTAGAAACGTTGATTATCTTTTGTCTATTTTTTATTGTATACTATCTCACCGATGATAATTTTTAATACACAAATGATGAAGTTCAGAAACTTTTCGGTAAATGCCAATGAAGCGATACTAAATTCAGGCGCCTGTTTTAATTTTGTTAATGCTCAAAGTTGCAACGCTCGAATCGTTTGTAACTTAATGAGTCTTAATAGTCCAAAGCGCTATAACTCAAAACGTACACATCCGATACTAATTTGTACGCGAACGACCGAGCCAATCGAGTGCTGTCGCTTCGAAATCGACGCTTCATCATTCTACTCGGGTCGTCGTCTGATCGACTAGTGAACGTTGAGCTACGGTTTCCATCAATCGCGCTATAGAGGTTGGCCGGGTCGTGGGTCTAGTGCGGCTGGTGTTTCTATCTACGACCAGTGAGAGTTGAGCTGTGGCAGCCATCAATCGTGCTGTTGACGTCGGTCGGGTGTGACTATTGATACATCCCGGCGACCAGTAACTTTGAGCCATGGTTCCCATACATGTCGATCGGGTCGCAGATCCAGTGCGGCTGGAGTTACGTCTCGCTCACCACTGAAACTTGAGCCGTGGCGGCGATCAATCTTGCTACAGACGTAACAGCTAGACTTTCAGCGGGTGTGTCAAGTTGTGCTGGTCTCCTGGGCCGTTCCGGGCGGGCGCTCAGAGCGCAGCCTCCGCTGTATCGAGCGGCCGCGCCCAGCACGTGCTCCATTCACAAGCCAACCACGTGGTCCGCAGCATAGTATTGCCAAAACGAGTAATAGTAAGGAATAGTACGTGGAACACGTCGATTAGCTTTTTTATATTCCCTTGCCTTCTCGAGTTGCTAGTATTGTAAGTGAACGTAATTCTTTATATAGATAAAACATATACTTGTATTAGAATACGTTTTATTCGCACATCGCAAGCTACTCTCTTAAAACCATGCTACTTTCTTCAAGTCCAGTTAGCAGTTGTGACTTGCCGTTGGAATGGTTATAAGCTTTCGAATTGTACAATTTATTTCGAGAATCAAATTAATGAATTCATTTAGTTACTATTGAAATTTTTTCAAAATTACCTTTTAAGAACTATGTAATTTATAGCGTATTGTATGCGTTCAAATTGAGCTACATTAAATTAGCTAGCGCGCATTTATTATATCGTACATTTTAGCTTTTTACTCGGTCGCTACTTGTATCGCTACTTGTATCGGTTGGTGTGGTTGGGGTAATCTTTCTCTTCTATCTAGTGCGCATGCGTCATCCCCGGGAAAACCGGGCTGTGCCCGCCCTTATTGACGCTAACAGCCGCAATGAAATATGGCTTTGTATTTTAATTAGTGGTACACGGGCTTGCCTCTTTATCGGATAGTACTGTATTGTTTCAGAGTCCAGTGAATGTATGATGTTAATAATTTTAATGATTTTGCCTTGGGCACGTGCCTTTTTAATTGGGCCGCTAGCTTAATTATGAAATGGACTATATTATTTTTGTATTATTACTAGAAAACAAGTAGTACTAATTAATTATCAAATGTAAAAAAAATATGTGATAAAGCTTCACAGAATCACCGAATGGGCTTTACGCAGTTCTATTTAGGATCGAAATATTTCTTTTTAAGTAAGAAATTGGTTAACGAGCTGGCGGTTTACCCGATGTTTAGTGATAACCGCCGCCCATGGAAATTTGCAACACCCGTAGGGTTGCAAATGCTTTGCCACCTTTAAATAAAGTCGACCCCGGCTACCTAACTCACCAGACGAAACGCAGATGTTTTTTTAGAGGCTTTTTTTTAATAAGTCATCGATGGTCTATTAGTATTCGTTTCGAATAGCGATTTCCCTCAGCAAAGCTTTTTGGCTTCAATCATACTAATGTTTTTTTTAATATTACAGCAGAACCAGTTCTCTATAATTGTTTATTTATCAATATACATGGTGGTAGTCCGTGGCAGGTCCGCGTTGCAGTTTCTGCTGTTGCACGAATGCGCACTGCCCAAACTGCTGCTGCGCCCTTCTGGCAAGCGGGTGTGGGAAGTGCCATGGTCCCACAGAACCGCCATGAAGAGGAAGTACTATTTTTTGTGTTTCGAGTGGTGAGTGAGGTTACCACTCACATTTTTAATGTTTGCATCGCAGCTGCAACTCTTGTTGTCTGTTGGCGGCGGTATTCAAGAAACATCAGCATTAACTACCTACTTTTAAAATAAAGTAGAATAGTTTTTTGGATGCAGTTGTTCCGTTTTGCATCTTTTGTGATTTACATGTCACATACGCAAATCTTCTCGCTATATTTTTAAAGTCCCACAGTCAACCGGAAACGCGTGCCATTAGACTTTCGTATCTCGAGGGCTGACTTGAGCCTCGTTTGAGCCGTTTGAGCTTTGAGGCTCCACTTTACGCTTGAAAAGCGATCGCTTACTGCGTGTAGTGTGGTGATGGGTTTGCGGTATGAAGGTCGCCGTTTCTAATCTTTGTTACGTGCACTTTTAGGTCTTAACGTAAAAAATCTTTGTTTTAGGATAGTTTCACTTTAATCGTAAGCCACCGTTTTCCTTTTTGGTTGATGAATGGAGAAATCTTCTTATCGAAGTTTTTTCTGTTTTCATTTTCACTCGTCCTTTCTGTTCCCTACGCCCCTGAGGAGGAAAGTCATGAATTAATCATTGCTTTTATTTAATATACGGATAAATTGATATGAAATGCTTTCCACGCTAAAGAAAGCGAAAGCTATCGTGGTAAATTATTCATTAAGTTACATTTCGATGAAATATGTCTTAAAACTTTTAGTAAAAATTGCTACGTTCTTAGTTTCATTGTTAGTCAACTAACAACTTTTTCCCCTTGAACTTATTTCTTCGTTTACAGTATATTTATTACTGTCTTAATTCTGTATTTCAGTACCACGGAAATCTGTAAAGGAGAAAATTAAAAAGTTACTATTTCATTTATGATATAACTGTAATAAAATGGGCATTGTACAATAACGAAATCCATTGTCAGTTTAAAGTAATTTGTCATTCTATTCATAAAGCAATATTTATTAGCTTCTTTTTTTTTTTTGGGACATTACTCGTTCTTACTCTGCCGATTCCATTTGGAGTTCCATAAAAATACGAAATTCAAATTTTGCGTTCGAAAGAAACATGTGCATCCGAAATTTAGCATCAATAATATTAGGGAGCGAAGTGCATAACGTTCAAAATTGCTCGAGGTTCAATTTCAGATAGGGGGAACGGTGGATATTCTAGAATGATCGGATATCTGCTGCGTAGATCATTCAATTAGCCTACGCTCCTCAGTCTTCATCACGCATCTGATTGGTTGCATCCTGGACTCGGAATGCACAAATTGCTTTCGGACGGGGCTCACCTGCGAACCGAATCACGATTAGACCACGCTATAGGCTCAATCTCAAAGGCAAAATCAATGCTCTATTCATCACTACATAGTATAAAACAAAGTCGTCCCGCTGTCTGTCTGTCCCTTTGTATGCTTAGATCTTTAAAACTACCCAATGGATCTTGATGCGGTTTTCTTTACTAGATAGAGTGTTTGAAAGGGAACGTTTTTCTATGTATTTTGCACATTGCACCCGTGCAAAGCCGACGCGGGTCGCTAGTTTTGTTAATAAAAATGATTTTGTATTTATAAGAGTTGTAAATTTCTCTACTCTGTACTGTAAGAAGGTGGCAAGCGACAGTTCACCTGATGTTAAGAGATAAACGCCCCCAATGGACATTTGCAACATCCGTAGGGTTACAGATGCATTGCTTTTTGATTTTTAACTGGGCTCCGGCCACCTCACTCACCAGATGAAACGCGAAAGCATTATACTTCCACTTTACGCCAGTCTTCTGTGAGGTCGTGGTACTTCCCGATCTGCCCATTTCTGCAACAGTAAAGACTTTTGCCTGAACTTAACTACGTACTGGGAGAGAACAAGAGAAACAAGCGAGTGATCTTATAAGGGTTCCTTTTTACCTTTTAAGGTACGGAACCCTAAAAATGAGGCTGTTGTATGGCCATTCCGATTCTCGAAGTTATTAGTCAACAGTCCGTGCCCATTTTTTCAGCTTACTTCGGTTTCTTTCATTAAAACAAATTGTCAATAGTTGGCGTATCATATATTCCTTGTAGAATTTTTTAAAATAAAGTTTTTTTTTTATTGAAAACAAAAATTTTATTCACCTTGTTTGTTTCTCGTCAATAGCTGTAAATACATTACGAGATTACAAGACGGACAAATACATACAATTTCATGAAGAATGGTGTACCGACAAATAGTATGTATAGAAATACGAGGTGTTATTTTAATTGCTTTTCTTCTCTAAGTAAAGCACTAAGTTGCATTTTACTCTTAAAATGAGGACGCGTCCCACCGGCCCCAGCGTTATCGGTGAACTCTGCAGATATCTGACCTCCATTCCTCCGTCTCCCAGTCGTGAGTTTTATCTCGCGTATCCTTAATAAATATGTATCCTTTAAGGTAATCTTTTTGGATATTTTCCGCTTAAATATTTTCCATTTAAGTGTGATTAAATTCCGAACTGTATGTAATTATTTCATCGGTGTTCACTTCCAATCATGCTGCAGTGCCTTTAAAAAGAGCTCCTTACACCATACTGCCAAAGTTTATCTCAATCGTTACATGGAATGCAAAAGTTAAATATAGTACTTTAAACTCTGCACTTAGATGAAATGAATCCACGTCTTCCGGATTCTCGCCCAGACGCTTTAACCAATAAGCTAAACGGCTGATTGTCACACCGACTAAAACTCAACTTATTATATCTACATTTTTTTTCACAATTTAAGCTTCTATTATTATTGATGTAAAGGATACACCCGCCACTTTTTCAAAAAATAATATTGGAACGCATAACTTTAAATATTACCAATTAACTTCGGTTTTCGAGCTACAGTAGTAGCTATTGCGTGGCTTTACCACGGAAAAGATAACTGTCCTGTCAATTTTAAACCAGCCCCATTTGTCTCACGACATAATAATCTCAAATTGCCGTCAAACAGTTCCCACAAAAGTAGGTCATACAAATACTTCCGCAATGGAGTTCGGACCAATCAGATAATAGCTACCGATCGAGCCGAGGTCGGGAACTCTCGGGCACCCTCGAATCGGAATGCTAAACGCGTGTTGAGTTACAGCCCAAGCCGACGTCCCCTCTCGGGGACCCTTGAGCCTGATCACTCCATGGAGCGCCCGCCAAAGCGCCCTGAGAGCATGGCGGCCTCCCAAACCGGTGATAATAATAGCGTGACGGTCCGAGCCGAGGCTCCCCCGGGAGCCGTCGAATAATAATAATACGCCGGGGTTCAGACTTGGCGCCCCGTGCGCCAGGCCACCTCAAGCCCGTCGGATCTGTAAAGGCCCCTAAGGCCAACAGTGGCTCATCCAGCCCAAAAAAAAATGGAGCTCGGATATCGTAATGTACTGAAAAAATATATATTACCCACCGCGCATAACAATTTATTTACCGTGCATTGTTCGACTCAGATCAATAATTGAAATAGACTTCTAAATAATAAAAGCGAGCTTTCATTCTAATAAATGCCCCTGACACGAAAACGTCCGCAATGGAACCTCGCCGTTCGTTGCACATAAATAAGGTTCATGAATCAAAGATAAGGTGATTTTTCTATTACACATTTAATCGATCGGCATTCCATCTGAAAGGCTACCCCGCTGCACAGTCGTGTGAGCATATATACATACAGTTACAAAGTAATCACACTATGGTTTTGGTCTCAAAATATTGTGTTTGTCTGGTGTCTTGTTAACTAGGTCGGTTCAAACTACCGAACTACTTACGTTTATACATTACGTGCATTATGTTGAAGTGTGAGCGGCCACGAGGAGTGCCTTCCACTGAGGAGATAACAAATTAACTGCACTGTGCAGTACTCATGTATAGTTTGTATCTGATATCGCATGGTTATGATAACAGCAGGTACATGTAACATACTGCTTTGATTGCAAGAATTATCAGTTAGCTTCATTTTGTAACCATGTCATGTAAATAAATATCAAAGAGTAATGTATACAGAAATGATATTACTATCGTGTACACGGAGAAAAAGTAAGATTGTAATAGTAATTTTTGTTGTCGAGATTTAACGTTTTTAAATAATTAGTAAAATGACCATATTATGTTTTAATTGTTGACCTATCCACTCTGATAGCACTAAGCGGCATTTTTTATATCAAAATTCCTTTACTAAATCTTCTTTACTTTTTAAAAAATTCAAATATCTAATGTAGGTCTGTCTGCTGCAAGATTCGGCACTTGGATGCTGATCAAGGAGCCGTGCGGTTGTCCGTTCCAAAATATTATTATTCCAATTATAAACATCTAAAAATCAAACGACATCGAAAAAGTCTAAACGTATTCAAGTAAAAGATCAAAAAGAAGTGGTAGTCGAATACTAATTTCTAATTCTATTAATGAACTATCCATGTAACGATAACGGTCTTCACGTTAAATGTCCAGTTCGATACGATGATTCCAATCGCTTCCTCAAGTCGCCTTGCATGAACCCGTTCTCTGAACACAGCCACAATGGTCCACGACACAGGGCGATCACTCAAGAGCGACGGGATTGCGTGCCACTAAACGCTCTCGGGCATCCGGCGTGCCATTGTCGGTTGGGTTATTCGCGCGTCTTTTGGCTGCCCACAACTTTGTGACTCTAACGCCCGCTTTCTGAAACACTGATCATCGTAGAAGTCAACTAATCAGCTGTCATATGGCATTTCAAATGTTATTTAAGTTGCCAAAAGGATGGTTAAATTATTTGAATTCAAAGAGCTTAACCATCCTTTTTGCAACTTAATGAAAAGAATTTAACACATTTGAGAATAGGATTAAGTTTTAAATGCGACCAATTGACTGATAGCGAATCTCCATTCTTTAAATTGAGGATGCTTTTTCTTGCGAAATTTCGTTACCAGAACGCGTCTCATAATCTTCTTCTTATATATAAAAATGGATTGCTGTTCGTTAGTCTCGCTAAAACTCGCGAACGGCTGGACCGATTTGGCTAATTTTGGTTTTGAAATATTTGTGGTAGTCCAGGGAAGGTTTAAACGATGAGAAATTATGGAAAAATTGAACCGAAATAGCAACAATTTTATTTTACAATACAAACTGTACCTGTCAAACGATTTTTGAACGCGTTCCGAATCCTCTAGAAATAATTTATGGCCGAATCCTCTAGAAATAATTTATGGCAAAACGTTTGCCGAGTCAGCTAGTCATCTTATATATAAAAATGGATTGCTGTTCGTTAGTCTCGCTAAAACTCGAGAACGGCTGGACCAATTTGGCTAATTTTGCTTTTGATATATTCATGGCAGTCCAGGGAAGGTTTAAACGAAATTATGGAAAAATTGCATGGAAAATCGAAATAGCAACAATTTTATTTTCCCATACAAACTGTACCTGTCAAACTATTTTTGAACGTGTTCCGATTCCTCTAGAAATCATTTATATGGCAAAGCAACGTTTGCCGAGTCAGCTAGTACAAAATAAACTTAGTAAAATTACCGATAAAAATTACGGTAACAGGAATTGGTAAACATTACAAAAGTGTTAATGTACACATAATTAAATTAACGCATACATCGTATTTCGTTTCGAGTCGCGTTTGTCGTTTTGTCGCTTCTTTGGACAAATATTTGCTTACATCATGAGTAAACAACAACCGAGTAGGCACTTCGAATGTATCGCGTTATGCTCCCACCATATGAACAACGGCCCAGATGACGTTGGTAGGTCGATGTGTTCGTTTTTAGACGTCCATTATTTGTTATAACAATACAATGACAGAGGTAACGTACATACCTTTAAAGTTTAAACTATATTATTTTATGTTTGTTTGTCCATTGTATTAACAGTGTGATTTGGGTTGTCAACAAAAGTTTTAGGTGCAATAGTTTTGATTGAAACGCAATCAGCCGTCGTCTATATGTAGGCCGTAATGTATTTTGTAATATGTTCAATATTGAAGTCTTCCGGTGATTACAATATTTGACTCTCACTGCTTACTTTAACTCTTGATCCATGCCTTGGCCAATTGAAATTACCGTACTGATTTGGGTTATTTTCAGTGTTAGCAAACCGTTTAAGGATGAAAATGATGAATTTTCAGTAACAATACTGAGAATACACTAAACTACAAATTAAATAATTAAACGACGTGGAAAATCGTCTACCGTGTTGTACTGTACACAATTAATAAGTAAAACTTTCAGGCATAGCCACGGTAGTGTGCAAGTGTTTTTGCACAGCCCTATTACCGTTAAAGATCAACGTGTTGCCATCGAGTAAATACGGCGATGCCGTGTTATTTGGACGGGCGATGTAATCGGAGATTTATTGCAACTCAGTACAGCACGTATGAATTTTTGCCGCTGGGAATTTGAGTTCTTCTACTTAGACATTAGACGCTATTATTCCCCGAACGCCGCTTTCGTGGGCGTTGTATTGATTGCCAGTAAGTATAGGTCGAGAATTGGTTTTCGAGACGCGTATCGCTCTTGAAGCACGCCTCGTGCGGAGTGCTCCTTGGATGAAACTTGAAATTTTTTTGTGCGCGCCTAATGTTGCGAAATTTATTTGGTGGCGGTCATTGTACAATTATTAGACTTAGGGCTGCCACGTAATTATATAATCTTGATTGGATTGTTTGCGAGAACTTTGATTGTTGCGGTACTGTGTACGCCATGTAGCTTCTGCTGTTGAGCGAACGGGCTGGCTTATCCGGGGAAGGACCACGGCCTCGCGGAAGACTGGCGTGAAGTGTAATTATGATACTTTCGCGCTTCATCTGGTGAGTGAGGTAGCCGGGGCTCACTTAAATTAAATATTGTCAGCGCATCTGCAACCCTTTAAGCTTTATGTATCCTTTATTTATATTAACTTAATTAAAAATTATAAATAATGTTTCAAATTAAAATGCCTTCATTCAGTACAGAAGCATTACACTTACTTATTGATTTACTTATTGATTGTCAAAACATTACACCACATTTCTTCATATACCCAAAAATGAGAGGTTTTTCCAAACAATTGATTTATCTTAACAATTTAATTTTTTCGGTGAAGTAATTAAACATTTCAAATGACATTAACCTGCAATTAAACGAGCAAACCATATCCAGAGATTAGTTTTTATTATCTAAAGAATAGAAAGAAACCCCTTTTAAAATTCACTTAGAACTTTCGAACTCTATAAGCTGTTCGACTAACTTACACCGAAGTAACCCGATTTCGTATTCCAGCTGCCGATGTGAAGATGCAATTACAGATAGTCGACCGATCTTAATCTGGTACGAATAAAAACGACAACTTTCCTTTAGTCCTAGTTGCCTGAAACGAGTTTAGGAACTGGTTGCCGGTACTGGCTCATCGGTTTCCTTATTGAGATAGAAGCCCGCCGCCTTCGTCTAGCTGCTGCAGTGCATTTCATGACGATCGTGCATGTGGTGAACATTAAAAACGACAAATTGATGCGCTTCTATAACCGCTTTGAGGTTTCTGTAATGGATTACTACTTTGGATCTTCAAAATATTTAAGTGTGGCTCCCATACCACAGATATGATTTTTTACCGTTTTTATAAATAATGTTACGGAACCCTTTGTGCGCGAGTCCGATTCGCACTTGGCCGGTTTTTTATTCCTTGAAGTTACTACTTATTAACGTCGGACACTGGCGTGTGAGGTCCTTACATTGTAATGTGGACGCAGCTTATCGTGACCTTATTTGTACGTAACAAGGAGCGTAGCAACCGATTTATTGCTATCGGAAATGTTTCTGTTTTTTTTTTTATAAATGTAATGGAAATGTTTCTTTATCAACATACTGTCAATATAAAATCTTTATTTTATTGAGTAAGCTAAGCGGTAGGTTTTTATTGATTTCTGTAGTTAATACGTTTTTACGCGTGTTATCGAACGAATAATCTCGACGTCTGCGTTCATTTGCTGCCACTCTGTGAAGTTGATGTAAATTTGTAAATTATGTAAAAGTAAAGTGACAGTTTATCCATATCCCACTGCTGGGCAGTGTCGTCCTCTATACAGAGGCTCTTATTATATGCCACCAGGTAACCCAAATGCGGATTGGCAAACTTCACATATCTTCGAAATACTTCTTTTAATTTATTTCGAAAATATGCATGTTTTCTCACGCTTGAACTTAGGTTGCTCGAGCATAAATAACATCGCGCGCCACTGAGCGATCGCGGCACCTTTTTTTATGTAGTCATTACTTATTTGTATTATTGCGCTATACATTTCTTATTCATTATAATTCAAAATCTCTAAGATTACTTTCATCGTGCCATAAAATCGTGCCATGAAAAGCTTAAATTATGTGCCATAAAATACGTAAAATTGTTGTATTTAGAAATAATTTACATTAGTTGAATAAGTAGGTAATCGTGGAAGGCAGGCAAATTATTTTAGAAATTTGCGTACTAATTTTCATATGGTGTTTAATTAATAAATAATTAGGCAGGTAGGTAAACCTTCTATTCCTTATTAGATTACCTCGTGTGTGCGGCGCATAGGCCTTTGGGAAACATAAAAGGCTTAGGAATTTGTTGTAATCGCTTTGGCGTGTTTACACTGAATGCAAGTGCAATCGCGGTGTTTAATTTTTAAATGGTTAGGAAATATTTCAGAGAAGGACAGGTCGTAGCCGTTTATAATCTACTTTGAAACTAACTAACTATTACCTCCGTACCTACTAGTGAAATAAATTAATGGTTTAGCAATTTCTTCGGAACCGCAGATCAGGGATTTAAAAATATCTTCTACAGATAATTACTCCAATTCTGTGTGTGTGTTTATATGTGATAAGGTGGCAAACGAGCTGGCGGTTCACCGGATGAAACCCGCAAGTGTAACACTTGTACTTCACGGTCGTGGCACTTCCCCGGACGGAACTGCCTATTCTTGCAACAGCGAGGACTGTTGCGTGGCACTAACACAGTAGTTAGTGGGCATCCGTTTCTGACCGGGACTCCCACTTACCCCTATCCGGTGACAGGGGGTCTATAAACGATTTTTCCCACGTAATAGTCCGTGAAATCTTTCCATGGTCGATATTTTGCACGAGAGAAAAGGTTATCCTCCTGCTGGTTTGATAAAATATACAGCGTGTGACTCTTAACAATTTTTAAATGTCAATTCTCCCGTTCGAGTATGATATTAGTGTCTTTGAGACAGGATTGACCGAGCCACTGATTTATCACCTAAGACTTCTCTTGTGAGTAGAAAAAAAAACATATATTGTGCAACGACGTATGCATATAAATACATCCATTAGTTAGCACCTTCGGTTCATTCACCCGGATAGAATAATTAACCGTTGTCGCATTGCTTCTTTACCGAACTCTCCAGTTGGCTGTATAATAACGAGCGAAGGCATTTTGTACAAAACCTCACTGACTGGTAAATCTGTTTATTCAATTTGCATATCATTAAATTTAAAACTAAAAGATAACCATGGAATGCACTAGAAACGTGTTTTGAACTGTTCTCCAATGCTTTAACGACCCGATTGCCGTAGGGAATAGTGAACCTGTCGTACGCCGGAGGGCATGGGTTCGATCCTCACAACCGGAAAAATATTGTGTAATGAAGGTAGCGGTTTGTTGGTGCAGTTTTCTATATAGGTTTTTCATTTCAAAATAAAAAAGTCATTTAAAAAATAAAGGTTAGGAATAAAATAATGATAATTTAGACCTTCCTTGTTGTTGAAGCAACAGATGTTAACAATAAAATCTACGTAAAATGACTTCTGGTGTCGCAGAGTGGTGTGAAGGTCTATGGTATTCAAGCCATGGAAAAAAATTAGTACAAAAGTCTGCTCAGCGTGTGAGTAATAGATATGAATAGTAAAGGAAAGAAAAAATTGATAACGATTTCATTAAATACCTGATAGGTAAATTTCAAAAGTTGTTATGGGCGAAGCAGCCAACTTTATCATATCGTTTTTTTACTGGCGGTGTGTATCATAAAAAATACATTCACATAATTTTCTTAAAACCCGTCAAAAGAAGTATAACTTCAAAGTGTTGATTTAATTCACGCGTTGATGTTTTTTACAGTATCCGTCTCTCTAGATCAGTGATTCTCAACCTTTTTTTTGTTGCGGCACATATTTAACGATTTCAAAATTTGGCGGCACACAAAGAAAAAGTAACAAATTATTTACTTACTACAACACACTGCATAAATAGTTTATGACAAAAATTTTAAATATACGAAATAAACTAATATATACTACAATAATAACTAAACGTTTATTAAGGGATTAATTACAAGCTAATAATAAAAATATTTTAATGCGAAATTTGAGCTTGATATTTTTCGATAATTTCATTTATATTTGGTCGTAAAAATGACAATGCTACTCTCATATCGTCTTCTACATTTAATAATCTTGATTTTTTTTAGTTTTAATGTTGGCTAATGCCAAAAAATATTTTTTTTAATTGATATAATTTAATAATATTAACATTATTATAATTATATTTGAAAAATTTGGCGGCACACTTTTGAAATTTGGCGGCACACAAAAGTGCCGCGGCACAGTGGTTGAGAATCACTGCTCTAGATATTTAAATAGCATCTATCTCAATACTGCATATAGAATAAGACTGCTTATTTTATAACTCTTCAACTAAAAAGAATAATTATTACGTAGTCATCTGAAAATGATTAATTTGATATTTAAAAAAATCTTTGAGCTTTGAGAACTGTCCTTTCTAGTGATTGTAATAATTATTTTGTCGATATGATATAATGAAATGACGAAATACAGCCACAGGACCTCCACTCCATTGATTTTTAATCTTGGTTTGTTTTGATTTATTAATCATTTATTATTTTATCTGTATTTTTTAATTGTTATTTTTTATTGAAAAATTGTTAAAATAATCTGAAATACCTTTATATCTATAACATCTAGTGATTTACAATTGAAAATTGTATTTAAGTATGTTCATCAGTTGTCTAGTGCCCGTAGTACAGGCTGGATTAGTTTTGAGCGAGAGAACGTTGTGTTAACGAGTTGTGTAATATTTATTTATTTGGTCGTAACCTGTTAATTAATTGTCATAATTTTAACTGTCCATTGTAAAGATACATGTATGGTTATAAACATGTTGTCACATTCAAAAACAAGTACCTATCTACGCATGCAGAAGCACTGACAAGATCGACGAGAATGAGGTAGTCCCATGCAGTTGTAATTTGTCATAAACAACAGCACTTTTTTAAAGATAGGCAATGCATCTGCCACGCAAAAAAGCACACAATCAAGCCCGCTAGTGTACCCGCAAGCGCGTCACCAATCCAGGTGCCAAATCCTCTGCGTTTTTAAAGCACTCAAGATTCGTCGACTACTATATCCTCTATCCATTTTGTAAAGGGACGAAATGAATAGATATAATGAAAACCCCTTATTGCTGCTCATTTGAGTCACATTTGGAACTCCCGTACAAATTTCATAGTTGTTGATCCACCGATTTATACCGAACGCTGTCTCTTATTCGGCAAGTGTTACGAGTTTTATTAAACAGAAGTTAAGTTGGGCATTCATCGACAGTCGTTTTTTGATGTCGCTGCCTTTTGTCTCTTGACTATCTGCCTTTCGTCTTTGATGCAGCCGCAGTGATTCAGCGGGCGTCGAGCTGTTTCCTTGAATTGTACAATTGAATACCTTTTGTTTTCTTTCCGCAGATGCGTTCCCGGTAAAGGTATGGACCCATTAGTCGTGCGGGTCATGGCGTAGTGGGCGCCGGCATCCTTGTACTTTGCGGTGAGTCATTTTGTATGTATATGCAGTAGTTGGAGCATGCATTTCATTATCATCAACCTTATCATTATAATCATCAACATTATCACCGTCATCATTTTAGCCTGTTAGAGTCCATTGCTGAACATAATAGGCCTCCCTCTAAGACTGCCCCACCAAGCAAGATTCTGAGCTACCTGCATTAATCGATTTCCCTACACCGCGAATGCCAGCAGGAGGCTGCCATTCGAGATCTTCACACTTTCAAAACTCTCTTACCCATCCAATTCATATTATATATTTAATATGCATATATTATACATATATTGTAGAAATAAACAAGAATCAAGTGATTATTTATACGAGCTTAGTTTGAGTCTGTATATATTACAGTCAAAAACTTACGACGGTACCAATCTCTTAACTGAATGTCGGTTAAATACTTTTTCTAAATAACACGACCACCAGTTAATGACGATAAATTATTCCGATTGTAACAAATTGGCACAGTGCTAATATGGCCAACATTTGCACACAATATGTGTTTGGGTGCCTCGCGAGCACATGTTCGAAGTTGGCGGCGAATGTTAATTTAAGTTCCACAAATGCTTGACCCGCCTGAGCTAAGGACTATGACTAGCTTCCACTCGGAGCTAGGGTTGCCGAAAAAATATCGATATATCGATATTCTTTTATTAAATTTATAAATTGAAACAATATTTAAATTGATATATTTTGATCCGATATATTGATATAAAATATCGAAATCGTATCAAAAACGATATTTCTTTTTAAATAGAATCATGGACAAAGTCCGTACATTCAAATGTTTAATACTTGGCGTACGTTTTTTTGGGAAAGCAGGGCTTATAAAGAATATATCGATATATCGATATTTTCTCTTCGATATATCGAGGCCGATATTGATATTTTATAAATATCGATATTTCGATATATTTCACTTTCGGCATCCCCACTCGGAGCCCGATTGTGAAAATAAATTATGAATTACCAACAGATGTTTCAGCGCCAACGATCTTGATCAGAGCTCTTAAACCAAATCGATAGCTTTTAATCCCTAATCGAGTCTGGACGATATGTATCGTAAAGTAAAGCTATTTTAATCAGGGATTTAATTGAAGTAATCAGTAATATATACGTAACTTAACTAACAGACAAGGGGTTGAAATCGAAAGACTACTTTGATTCACTCTTAATCCGTTAAATCTCAGGCTTTTATGCGACAGTTGAGTAATATAACTGAGTTAAACGTTCACAGTTAAAAAAGAAAGAGCTTTGACCTTCACAGACATTTATTTGAATATAAATATATTATTATAATATTCGATATCAATAATGAATATACATTTCGAGATAAATCTAACAATGTTCACTGAAATATTTTAAAAAATTAAATTATTAAAGGATATATAAAAAAAGACTAAAATACAATATATTTAATGCGGTATGTATACGATAAAAATAATACATATATATTTAACAAATAGCATTAACATAATAAATATATATTGTTGTTTATGATTATTGCATCTATTATTCTTAAATACTCCATACTTAAAAGCAATGATGTAACATAGCATAGTAGTACAAGTTTTAATTATGCCATGTGTAATAAATGTAATTAAGAAGCGTGCTTCAGCGAAACTGTGTTTTTAATTAAAGTAGGTAACATTATATGCGGTGTTAGATAACGTACCATAGGGAATTTTATCACTAACCTAATAAAATAATGACTTGCAACATAAATTACTGACCCTCGCGTTAGTATACTGTAAATGCGACTGTGGGAAGTTTAAGTCGCAACCTTAGGTTAGATTTTTAGGCAAATGGGTTCTTAACATGGCCTACTTAGCTTGGCAGATTTAAGGCACACTCTCAGCGATGTTCAATAGCTCAGTTGTTGCCAGTGCTCATGAGCGACGGTCCTCGCCTACCATCAGTTGTAATCATTTGAAATAAGAAAAAAAAACACTACCACCGTGCACGCGACACAGATTATTTATAGCGATTTTGCTCGTAAGAAATACTACAGCAAATCGAGATATCCAAGAAACGGGAAACTCATCACAGCCTCTATTCTCGGTCCTCCCTTTTTTTCAACGGAGAATGTCCCGGGAGCATCTTAATCCGACGAGATAACGACAAGCCTGTTGCAATCTTTCCGTCCAGCGGCTTGTGTTAATTCGACAGAGTTAACGTCAAGCCTGTCGCGCCGTCCAACGTCTTGTGTTAATCCTACAGAGATAACGTCAAGCATGTCGCCCCGTCCGCAGGTGGTCCAGTGAAACGTGGCGATGGGCGCGCCGGGCTTGTCGGACGAGTACTCGCCGCCGCGCCTCTCGAGGCTGCTGCACTCGCTGCCACACATCAACGTGACCCTGCACCGAGTGAACGACACCTTCGCGCCCAACTCGCCAATATACCTAGAAGTGAGTCCGGTCTTTTGTTCGCCACGTGCCCGAGCAAAGGTCATTCACCGATCCCTTATTGCGTATCGACGGGTGCTTTAATACATTGTTTTATGTGACAAAGTGGCAAACGAGCTGGCAATTCACCTCATGTTAAGTAATAAACGCCGCCCGTGGACATTTGCAACACCCGTAGGGTTGCAAATGCGTAAATGCGACACCTTTAAATAAAGTAGGCCCCGGCTACCTTACTCACCAGACGAAACGCAAAAGTGTAACACTTCTACTTTACACCGGTCTTCTGTTAGATCGTAGTAATTACCTGGACGGACCTGCCCATTCGTGCGACAGCGAAAACTGTTGCATGGCCCTACCACAGTAAAACGAAGGACATACCAACGAAGAAAAAAACTATATGGTCTTTAACTGATCTCGTTCCTGTTTCACATTCGAACAGTCTTTATCGAACGAATTTGTATAGTAATGCGAATAGTGTACGCTTTTCTATCAGGAGTGCGAAGCACTATGGTGCCATTAAGTTGGATGGAGTCATGGCCACACAGCATTTTCTGCTGTTGTACGAATGGGCAGGCTTGACCGGGGAAGTAATAAGGCGTGAACGGAAAGTATTATACCTACTTATCATTTCATATATTGATTGAGGTAAACGGCGCTCCGGGTAAAGGTTAGCAACGCCTCAAATGATGAATGCGGGAACAAGGCGGCGGTAATCGCCTTAACATTAGATGATCATCCTGCTCGTTTGCCAACTCTCCCCATAAAAAAAAAAATGTTTCATCCTGAAGGTTTCGGTCGATTGTTGTGGTAAATGTAAAATAATTTATCCATTAGAAACGAACGATTGTATAAAAATTAAATAACGGCCAATCCGCCGTATGCCGTAATTCATAATACTTAGAGTAAAACAAAACTAAATAAAAAGAATATGGAAGAAATTAACTCTCAAACCAATTACTTACAATGTAGCATGGTATAAGTGTGTCCGTGTACAGTCGCCACATTGTTACAAAGCGACGGTTCTGCAATAAGTACTGTGATTTAAATGAGAAATTACAAAACTAATTTAAGTTTTATTTTGTTTTGATTGCTCGCACCGGTGCCGTGTTTCAGTTATTATAATTTGAAAGGACAATTTTCTTGAAGCTTAATTAAGCTGTCTGGGTTCTTTAAACGTTTCCTTTTCATCTTAAGTGTATTTCTCACTCTTGTTTGATTTTAAAAGCTTATTCCCGAACCGAATCGAAACTAAAAACAAGATCGTGCGTCATCAAATCCGTTAACTGTATCCGGCCTTTTACGTCACAGAAAAATGTTCTATGTTTACGGTTATAACGTCTTTTTTTAAATATAATGTTAATTACTTAATTATTTCTGATCTTAGTTAGTTCCAATCAGAGCCACCACTCGATTGTGCGCCGGCGTCAGATTCAGTGGTACGAACTGTCATGAATTCGAGTCAAACTCGATTGATTCAGAACTCGAATCCATCGGGAGTAGGCCCGCTGATTCATATGTTATGTCGACTCCCCACGTGGGTGCGGTAAGGACAGAAGTAATCATGAATTAAATGCAAGCCATAAACAAAGTAGGACGTAATGAAGCACAGTCTAAGAACCAAATTGTATTCCAATGCCGTTTCTTATTGGATTGTTTACAAATTTCCTAAAAAGACAGTGCATTCGGGACCCCATACTTTTTATGTGAGAAGTAAGAAAGCGAGCTGGCGGCTTACCTCATATTAAGTGATAAGCGCCGCCCATTAAAATTTGCTTATCAAAGGTGGGGTGGCATCTGCAACCAAATGCGTTGCAGATGATACCTTTTAATAAATTGAGTCCCTCTTACCTCACCCAACTTAGAAGTATAACTCTTCCTTTTTTTTTTAAGCAGGTTTGTATGTGAGGTCATTTGCTCGGACGAGCCTGCCCATTTGTGCAACAGCGCATACTGCTGCGTGGCCATAACCTAGAAACAATCACAGCCTGATATTATTGTCGGCTAATAAACCAGAGACGTCTGTTAGATGATATATTTTTATTCAAATATTTTACTAACATAAGCTCTCACTACATCCTGGGTAGACTGGTAATGGTAATTCCTTCGGGCACTAATTCCGCCTTTTATCACCTTTTTATTCAAGGTTAAGAATGAAGCATAAATAAATATATGAAAAAACATGTCTGGTTAGTACCATTTGTTTTTATTCTATCTGGGCAGAGTTGTTGTCGCAAGTATATATTATACATTTATTATGTGTAATAATTAATGTAATCATGAATATCCAATGTACGTGTGTTGATTTTTCCTTTCGTTATTTACTTTTACTCTCTTATTAGCTACTTCCTGCAATGCTTAACGAAGATTATCAATATTTATGTACTCAAACTCAATCATAAATATTGTTTTTTTTTGTGAAGTTTTGTAATTGAACAATTTTGTTTCTCTAATTGTGAATAAATGTTTCTCTAATTTAATGTATTCATCGTCTAATTTCGTCTCATGTTCGTATGAGCGATGACAAAGCAAGAGCCTACTTTAGAAGGATGTGAAGTAAGCACTTGAATATGCAAGAAAAATGTGCACGCCTTTGATCCGGCCAATTCAGTACAACGTTCTTTGTTAGTGTTATTTCAGGAGTTATTTCATTCGAAGTCATTAAGATTAAAATATTGTCATTTTGATTTTTATTTATTTAGACACACTTTGGTCCGTAATAATTATTTGAATTTCGCCAAATTAACTGTGAGTATTCAAACATCAATTGCTCTTGTGTAATCACGGAGATTGATTATGATTAATCTGCTAGTATTGCATTCGTCATCTTGTCATATGGGATGGAACGACTTTTTCTTAAAGCGCACTAGGTGTCTCTGACGCGGGTTTCGCCATCGCGAAATCACACTTTATTTTTAAGAAACATCTCCTGCACATGGGAATCGATATGCGACGGTTGGATATTTAACAAACAAAGGTAACCAAAGCCACAAAGCACGTCCAGACAAGAAACAACTTTTTGTACATCGCACCAATTACTTTGTATCCCGTGGGGTTTGTAACCACGACACTTCGCGGTATAGAAGTTGACAAGGTGCCTAAATTAAACCATTGCCATCTGTGCAGTAAATTTTGTTCATATTACTATTGTCGATTACGTATACTAGTGACGACTCCGTGGCGCAGTTGGCAAGGCTTCGACGCCCGGGGTCTGGCTCGATTCCCACACGTGACAACTATTTGTGTGATCCACAGTAATTGTTCTCGGATCTGGGTGATATTCCACCTGAAATGTATGTTTGCAAAACGTCCTGAAACCACGGGATAATATTATCTCACGGTACGGGCAATGATTTCATAAAAAAAAGATCAATATTGACGTCGTGACGTAATGCCTTCGAGAAAGTGCACAGCATACTGTGGTAGAGCCACGCAGCAGCCACGGCTGTTGCACGAATGGGCGGGCTCGTCCGGGTAAGTACCACGACCTCACAGAAGACTGACGTAAAGTGGAAGTATAATACTTTCGCGTTTCGTCTGGTGAGTGAGGTGGCCGGAGTCCAATTTTCAAAAGGTTGTCAACGCATCTGCAACTCTCGGCTATAGCAGATGTCCATGGTCGGCGGTATTCACTCAATATCAGATGAATCGTCTGCTCGTTTGGCAACTTATCACATAAAAATAATTCGATTGACGAATGTGTCACGTGGCAACTGTTTATGGTTTGCAGAGCCTGGGCATCCTCGGGTCCATTCCAGGCGCCTGGCTGATATTCACTCTCACCGTTCTCCTCTTGTACCTGCTGACGAGATGCTGCGACAGGAAGCAGCGGCCACCTCGGAGTATCATCGCCCTAAAGGTACGAAGATTGACCGTCCATCGACTTAGAGTTTTATTAACTGCATTTGGATAACGTCTATATTGCTTTGGTCCATTTCTATGACATGTACGGGAAACATTTGTTTTTTTTTTTTTTCAATTTAATATTTTAAATTTAAAGTATTAAATCCGAAGTATTACTAAAGAAATGACTACATTAGTTAATCGTTTAACTTAAGCCATATAATAGTCGTAGGCTAAAATTAGTACGGTACATTTGTTAAAATAAACTGTGAATATAATCAAACCGTTTCTCACAGAGCGTTCAATGATGTAATAAACACGTGTTGGGACTAGGGTGCGCAGGCGTTTAGTGTTCATAAGTTCTTGTATTTTCCTTCAAGCTGGACCGTCTAAAAGAAAACTTTCCATGAACTTAGTAAAGTGACAGCCTATACAAGTCACACTGCTATGCAAAGGCCTCCTCTGAGGGTATAAGGGCATAGTCCACCACGCGACCCCAGCGGATTGCCAGACTTCACATATATTCGAAATATTGCTTTTTGTTATTCCTCACGATGTTTTCCTTCACCGCTGAGCGTATTAACAGGATTTGAATTTAGGTTGCTCGAGTGTATTGAATTAAAAGCCCTTTATTAATCACAATATTAGAAAATGTGAAGTTTCGTATCGTTAAATTAAATTATAAATGAATAATATGCCTTAGATTATCCTCATCGAAAAGAATCGATGGTAACCACAGGGATGACACCATTTGCGCACGATCGGATAAATAGTTCAATGTTTTGTTTTTAATATCAAGCACATGATGGGTCAATGAACCTATTTTTGAAAATTCGAGATAACTGTTATTATTTTTTAAATTTATCAAGTTTTATTCTTCGTTGATATACCCAGAGTATACGAGTTTACATAAAACAGATATTTAACTGTAAATAACAATAAACTTTTTAAATAAGTCTTCCGAGCACATGCTACAAAATACAAAATCAATAAAAATTTACGATAAATTTTCAACTAGAGTCCTGTGAGCGGTAATGAATTGTATTACTATTTATCTTGTGCTCTGTTTTTGTGCCTTTGCATAATCTCCATATTGTACATTATGTGTGCACGTTCTGAATAATGTCTCCTTTTATCAACTTACGTAACGTGTAATATGACCGGTAAGGCCGACTCGTTCACAAATAGAGAGCTCCACTTAACCCTATGCAACTGTCCCAAATACATTAATCAGTGCCACAATAATTTCCAGAGATTGCCTCGTCTCATTGTACGAATTACCTATGCATATGTTCAGTTTATGTGGCCTTCGAGTGGCGACATTATTTGTGCGAAAGTTACTTCGCCTCGGCTTTTATTGTGTTCAGTTGGTAAACATTATTAAAAAATATAGACTAGAAGTATTACGTCAAATTTTAACGACGCGCACGCACACTGACAGCTTAAAAGCGACACGATGAAGTCGGCTGCAAAGCGACAACCTTTGACCAACTTCACGGTATTACCATGACAACCATTAATAACTTTTTGACATTTTGATACCTATAATTCGAAGTTATTTCATTAAGCCGTTATCAGTTGCGTTTAATGTCTTTTTCACAAACAACGAGTACTGGGCACATGGGATTAAATTTTTAGTTATTTTTCTTTTGTTACGCGAAAGAAGTTATAACTTATTATGTGCACACATAATTTTTAAATTAAAATTAATTAATCAATTTCTATAAATATATCTTCTCCACTATAAGTATTCTTCACAATAATCAAATATAATATTCTCCAGATTACTCTGATGATCCTGTCCGTGCTCTGCTGCGGCGCGATAGGGGTCGGCCTATTCGGCAACGACGACCTCCACAACGCAATGCTGCAGAGCATCCAGGCCGGCAACCAGCTAGCTGGTCTAGTTAACACAATCAAGAACCAGGTACGTGTCGACTTCTCGTTTTTATACACTTTTAAATGAAACTGTTTTAAGTAATTTGTCGCGTGCCGTGGCTTTTGCTGAGCTAACACGCTTACCATCAGTTGCTGCATCGCCACTTACTAGCAGGTGGAATGGGGCGCTGGCCAGTTTCGAATAATAATAAAAAAATGGGAACGTGTGCTTATGTACGCGCGTGAGAAGTTATACGTCTTTGGCATCATTAAAAATAGTTTTTAATTGCATGCAAATAATTAATAACAATAAAATAACAAAAAGACTGGAAAAGGATACAAATAATGAAAGCGCCATCTACATTCTTTATCGAGAACTGTAACGGGTGAATGTGATTGAGAATATGCTGCCATCCATAATAAGCGGTTTAGCGGGCAGCTTCGAAGGTGTTTATTAAAATTTCACTCTCATCGTTTTCTCATAACGCGCCTAAGGAAGTGTAACTTCGAGAAACTCGCGCTTCCAGTCGAGCATCATAGAGGAGGCGATGGGCTCGCGGGCTCGAGTGAACCTGGCGAGGGTGGCGGACGCCCTGGACGCGCCGGTGGCCAACCAGACCGCCCTGGGTACCGTCCTGAGGGCGCTCTCCGCGCTGAGGAACAACGCCAGCGCGGCCGCTTCGGCGGCTGACAACCTCAGACGGCCCCTCGCCGCCCTCAACCTGGACGCTGTGATGAAGGTACGTGACGGCTTTTCGATTCGCTGTTCTATCGGGGTCTCAGCCCCCGTACTAAAGGACTAGAGCTTTTATGACGTGATAATAAAATGGATGAAGCAGAAACACCAGTTTGATTATTCCATGGTCGACACATTTAGGGTTATCAAAACTCTACTTTTAATCAGCGGATCCATTTTAAGTGATGGTCTTCTCCTTAATTGCTAAATATAAGCTTATAAAAAAACTCCTGCTGTAACCGGTTAATCTCCGGAGACTAATACACCTGCACCGTCTCCGGCTTAATGGTTTTTGTTGAGGATGTTACAGGTTCTATTAAAGGTGTTATAGGTGTTGTTGAGTGTGTTATGAGTGTTGTTGAGTGTGTTATGAGTGTTTTAGAGTGTGTTATGAGTGTTGTTTAATGTGTTATGAGCGTCGTTGAGTGTGTTTGGGTGTTGTTGAGTGTGATGTGGGTGTCGTTGTGCAGCGCGCGTGGGTGCTGGAGGCGGCGCGATGGGCGGGTGGAATGGCGGGCTGGTGCTGCGGTGGCGCCGTGTGCGTCGCTTTGCTCGCGGCGGCTGCGCGAAGGTCACGACGCGCGCTCCTGCTGCTCTGCGTGAGTATATTTGCACGAATCTGGGTGGTAATTACCCATGGGGTGTTTTGTAACCTCGATATTTGGTTTTATTAGGCGCCTACATCAATAAAAAAATCTCGTTCCCCTGACTGTATACAGCTTAAGTTTAGCTTCACTACATAGTATAACACAAAGTCATCCCGCTGTCTGTCGTCCCTATGTATGCTTAGATCTTTAAAACTACGTGACGGATCTTGATGCGGTTTTTTTAATAGATAGAGTGATTCAAGAGGATGGTTTATATGTATAATACATTGCACCCGTGCGAAGCCGGGGCGGGTCGCTAGTACCTTATAAAACGAGTGAACATCAGAGCGTGTCCCGCGGCAGTGTTCCGTGCTCAAAAATAAAAATAACCTCGTGGTGCTAGTTGTGGGTTGCGCTGCATACGCAGGTGTGCGCCCTGGGGGCGCTGGTGTCCTGCTGGGCGGCGGGCGCGGTGCTGACGGCGGGCGCGGTGGCCGCCGCCGACGCGTGCCAGGAGCCGGCGCGCGCCATCGCCCACCACGCGCCGCACCGGCTCCCCGTCGATGTGAGTGCGCCCGTTTGATCTACAGAGGCGAGAAATCAGGAGTTGTGCACGCTCCCCGTGGATGTGAGTGCGCCATGTTGTACCTTTGAGCGGTGCGCACGCTGCCCGTCCATGTGAGTATGCCACGTTGGACTTTCAAGGTGTGCCTTTGAGTGTTGCATTCGATCCCCGTCGATGTGAGTGTGCCACGTTGGGCTATAGCGGTGTGCCTTTGCGGGTGTCTACGCTCCCCTTCGATGTGAGTGCGCCACGTTGAACTGTTGAGGAGGAGTTCCTTTGAGCGTGGCGTAAGTTCCCCATTGATGTGAGAGTGCCACGTCGAAGTAGGTGTGCCTTTGAGAGTTGCATACGCTCTTCGTCGATGTGAGTACAACACATAGACACGGATAACAATCTATAGATTCATGTATAGTTTTTAAGCCTTGCACGGGCCTTATGAAGTTATTGGCCGCGCATAGGGTCGTTCACACGTTGTCAAACATCGTCAAGAAAGAAAGTCAAACATTGTCTTCGCTTTCAGTCGGAATAGAACGCGGATCTTTCAACATGTCCACCTAAAAGTTTAAACATTCGTAAAGGCAAATTATCGTAATTGTAAAATAACTATTTGTCGATACCGACGTACATGGGAAACTGACGCGGACTTTTGTCGCCAGATGGTCTACTACTACCTGTCGTGCAAGGTCTCCAGGGAGAACGTGCTGACTGCGGAGCTGAGGAACGCCCAAAGGGCGGTGGTGGCCGTCCGCCAAGCTCTGGCCGTGCTGTCGAGGAGCGCGCCGCAAATGTTCACCGACTCAGGTAGCGTTGCATTGCATGTATGCTTGTCATAAGACGAGGTGTATGTAGGGTGTGTAGGTCAGCTATTAATGTGGATCTGCCACTTTAAGATTTGTAGCTTTTAACGGGACGCGGCATCAGAACGCAAATTTCTAATGTTTCGAATATTTTGCTGGTCATTCTGACTAACTACCATGCTAAATTAATAAGGCCATATAGATCTCTTGGGACAGCAGTGCCCGTTGCGCGAGCCATATCCCGATTTCGTTCCGTAGAGCTGCAGCCGGCGTTGGGTGCGTTGGGCGCCGGAACGGGCGAGGCGGAGCGGGCGCTGGTCTCGCTGAGCGGGGCGCTCGAGTGCCGCACCGCGCGCGCCTACTTCGTGGCCGCGGCGCGCGCCGCCTGCGACGGCGGATTGCAGGTGCTTGACGACGCCCGCTTCGTGGCCCCAATCTGTCCCTTAGTGTGTGGCAATACGATTTGTTTTTTATGTGAACGGTTGTGCCTTTTGGGTGTGCGAATTGTTTGTTGCGAGGCCATGGCGTGTCACTACCGCCATTACGTCGCTCAATGTGTGGCCCCAATACGCCCTTAGTTTAAGACCTAGCTGGCATGTTCCGGACTTCGGTACCAGTTTGAAGCAGTGCTTCGAAATCGCTATATGTTAAGTGTTTGCAAAGTTATTTCAATAGAACTCCAAGCATGCTTCTCACTAACCATTCGAGTTCCCAACATCGTACGGCGATAAAACCATAGACCAATATTGTCGAGAACATATAAAGGTTATCACTTTTGTAAGCATGTTTTATGTTCTTTCAGGCTCTGTCGTTGCAACTGTTGGCTGCCATCGCCGCTGGTTTCCTCTTTACCGCAATTGTTCTGGTCGATTCGCACGCATGGATCTACATTAATACCAAGTGAGTATATAAAAAAAAGCGAGAGAAAACATCATTCGGCGTATAGAAGTGTCTCTCTTTGTCAACCGCTATTATATTATAACATTTCTAACTGCTCATATAAGCTACAACTTAAAAATTAATTTTGACTATTACATTTATTTATATATTCATTTTTAGTTTGATATATATACTGCTACCAGTAACGAGATAACAATTAAGTTCACGCAAGGAATGCTACAAACTTCGGTTAGTCTATGCGGCCATGTCAATTCCGTGCCGTACAGTGTGTGGCCACGAAAAACGCGTGCTGCACAGTGTGTGTCCACGAAAATACGTATTGCACAGTGTGTGGCCATGAAAAACGTGTGCTGCACAGTGTGTGTCCACGAAAATAAGTATTGCACAGTCTGTGGCCACGAAAATACGTATTGCACAGTGTGCGGCCACGAAACGAGTTGTCTTCTCGCAGGCGCAGCGGCAGCGGCGAGGAGCAGGCGCCGTTCCTGTCGAGCGGCAGCAGCGCGGCCACCCGCTCGCTGCCGCGCCCCAACGCCCTACCCCAACGGGAAACCGCCCTCGTACAGCGCCGCGGTGCAGCTAATGGACCTGGCCGATAGGGAGCGGCCCAGGTGAATACTCTGAGAGTGCTCGATAACTACATAAGTCATTCCTCATTCATGTAAATATGTATGAATCTGAAATATTGAGGTCGTAACTGTTCCGTCTAGATAGGGTTAAAATTACAGTCAACTTTAGAGAATCTGTAGAGAATGCCAATAGGCATTAAGGTGTTTTCAATAAAAAATAAAACTTACGAATTATCTATCTTGGACGCTCTTGCACCTAAATGGAATCTTTAAAAATTAAATGGCTTTGCATATCATGTCTATTGGGCTAAGCCGAGTGCAGAAGGTAGTCCGGCTATCAACTGCGAATACTAATGTTACAACAGTCCCGACGAAAATGTGTTTTCTTTAAAGAGTAAAAGTCTTAACAAAATTTTAATTGTACCGAACACCGGACTATGCAATGGCGTACTCAAACGCAATGAGATACGTGAGCGAACGCTCAACCGACCCGATCGGTGAGTGATCACCATCGGTGCACAACGTTACCAACGTAACACGACCCCCGACCGAAACCCGCCGCCAACGTAACCCGGCCCCGCGCAGCGGCGAGGTGCCGTGCGCGCGCAGGTCGCGCATCTCCGGCAGCGCGACGCTCGGCCGCTCGAGCGGGGGCCTGGGCGCGCTGGGCGCCGCGGGCGGCTCGCACACGCTCGGCCGCGCGCCCCACAACGGCAAGTACGCGACGCTGAGCAAGCAGTGCAAGACGCTCGAGAGCAGCGACTTCTACTGAGAACGGCCTGGCGGCGGCGCGCTCGCCGAGCCCGCACCCGGTGAGTTCCTGCGGCGGGCTAGTCATTTGTTTACGGGCTTCGCTTGGGGATGTCGAAAGTGAACAAATCTATAGACGACCCCCCACTAGATGGAGTGACGACCTGTGCAAATGTGCGGGAAGTCGATGGATGCAGGTGGCTCAGGATCGTACTACATGGCAGTCTATGGGGGAGGCGTATGTTCAGCAGTGGACTCCAACAGGCTGAAATGATGATGATGATGATGATCGTTATTTTCTCTTTAGTTACCTCGTCGTCTAAACAAAAGGTATGTCAAGTTTTAAATATTTGACATCTACGGACTCTGCCCCGGATTCGAATTTGAAATTGATTTATGTTTCGATTAATATCAAATTATTTTTGGCACGATTTGTATTTAATGTTTTGTATCGATATATCGGATCCAAATATATCGGCTGAAAATATGGATATAGTAAAGTAATATAGTTAGTTCACAGTTAATCACGCGGCTCTGATGTTTTGTGTCCGATTCGATTTTTCATGAGAGTCATTGTTAAACTTAAAATAGTTAAACTTTTTCTCTGTTCACTTATGCACGCTTCCTATATTCAAAGAACGGCCGTTAGTTACATAGTCATTATGAAATCGTTACAAGGAGTAGTTATGAAAGTTATGTAACTAACGGCCGTTCGTTGAACATAGGAACCGGGCATTAGATTGCTGTTCATTCAAATTCATTAAAAAAAAAAACCCGTCCGCCTCCGTCCCGCAGGCCAGTCCGGGCGCGCGGCGAGCCTGAACCGGTTCGACCCGAAGTACGCGTCGTTCGGGCCGCGCGCGCCCCGCCCGCGCCCCGCCGCCCCCGCCCCGCCCCTCGCCACCTTCACGCCCGCGCCCGCCGCCGCCGCCGCCCCCTCCCCCGCCGCCGCCCCGCGCCCCCCCGCCGACAAGTACGCGACGGTGAGGCCCGCGCGGCGCGCCGAGCCGCAGCCGCTCTCCGCCGCCGCGCTCGAGTACCGCAGCCTGCAGCGGCCGCGCCGCCAGCAGCCGGGCGCCGCCGCCCAGCACAGGCGCCGCCCCGACCGCCCCGAGCGCCAGCACCACGACCAGCGCGACCTCTACGCCGTCACCGAACTGTGAGCGCTCCGCCTATAGTAATAGGGTCCGGATTACAGCGGACGAGTGGGGCGCAGCTCTCACAGTACTGTGGACGCTCGGCCTCCGCAAGATTAGATTCGAATCGAACGCACACGTAACGACTGCATACGATATACTAGACGTAGCCTTCATCGAATTGTGAGCGCTCCGCCTATAGTAATAAGGTCTGGATTTCAACAGATGAGTGGAGCGCGGCTCTCACAGTACTGTGGACCCTCGACCTCCGCAAGCTTAGATTCGAATTCGAACGCACACGGAACTACTGGCTACGTTAGGCTGGGCGTAGGTTTCTTCGAATTGTGAGCGCTCCACCTCCCGTAATTATGTCCGGATTCCGAAAGACTCTGACGAGTCTGATGAGTCTGACGCAACTCACAGTACTGTGGGTGCTCGGCCTTCGCAAGCTTAGATTCGAATTCGACCGCACACGGAACGACTGCCAGGGCAGGGGAACGATAGGCCGGGCGCAGCCTTCAAAGAACTATGAACACTCCGCAACCGATAATAAAGTCGAAATCCGAACAGACACGATAGTGGTTCAGGCGTAGGTTTCACCCAGGTGACAGTAAAGTGAATTTCGAGTAAGCAAAGACTATTATCGGTTTTCGTACACCTGCACTCAACTGTGAACGCGCCGCCTCTGGTGTTAGAGTTAAGATTTGAACGGTGACGACTCGGTTAGCGATAAGTGTAACTAAAACTAGAAAAACATCATCCGATAAAAGTAAAAATGACGCGTGTTTTTATCTTTGTCGAATAATGTCGTTTTGGGTTATGTAAATATTCTTTGTTAAGTACACTAGCGACTGTATGCATGCCTGTTGCCAGGTAAAGCGATAGGGACACTGCGTTGATCATGCAACCTATGTCCAGTGGCGTAAGGTCGAAAATGGCTCGAATCGAACCGAAAGGTTAATTCAGAATTACTTTAAATTCTAAAAGTTGACTTCATACACATTGCTTAGTCTTAAGATAATTTTATAAGATAAAAAGTCAGTTTCTATGATGAAAATGAGAGAATAGGAGTATAAATTTTTTTCGTAATGTTATCGTTGTAAAATTCCGAAATTTGTGGACAAACAGAACGAATCAACAATCGTTCACACGAACAATGATTTTTCAGTAGCTATCAATAATATTCACTCGTATCTCTCTATGCTAATCATAGCGAAATTAAACGAGTCATTTTGATGATTTAGATTCATCCATATCATCCTCATATTCATCTTCATAATGTCAATCTTATAAAAATAAAATAAAAAAATGTACGCAACACCTTAACTTTTTCGAACTGTTTTACTCAAAGTTTGCTCAAAAACATGAAAATGGTCTAATTTATATTTTACATTAACATTTGTGTTTTATATGTTGGATTTACAAAAAGAAGCATATACGAAAACAATCAATTTATAAATTTTAATGGCCTATATTTGTACAATTTTTGGTCATTATTATGAAAAACTTAGGAAGAACTCAGAAAATATCAAGAGCCTTCGATACAATGGATCGAGGTTGATTTCCAAAACTCATAATAATGAATTCAACCATAAACTTTGCCGTAAACTACGAGAATAGCTGGTAAGCGATTTTTAATCCCCTTTTATCTATAATGTCCACACTTATGGCTGTGCATACATCGTAACTGACCAATAACGATGGAATATCGTTGCAATCGATTTGTATTTAACGTTTAGACCTCGTGCGTTGACACTGGTCGCGGATTGTGCGATTTTGGACTCTATTGTAGCTCAACATAGGATTAAGAAGTAACGCGTATGGTCTAGCGACCGGCATCGGTTGACCTGTAAACGTCATAGAGACGCTTTTAGCGTGCGAAGTGAGAATGCCAAAGTAGGAAATTGGTTCGTTTAGAGACACGTCGCGTACTTTAGAGTAGCACGGCTGGTGTAGGTTTGTCTATGGTCATGCGACTGTGCTGTCCAGACCGTGACTAAATCGTATATACGTTTTGTATATATACATATGTATGTATGTATGTATCCATTATCTTTATACATTTGTATTTATTTTCAACTAAGCTCGGTTTTGTGTGATGTAATATTAGTTAAGGGTATTTTAAACTTGTATAGTTATGAACAATGAATGTAGAGTAAACACGATTAATGGGAAATGTATCGTTGATTTGGAATCTCCATTCGAATTAGTGCTTTCGGAATATTTACCTTATTGTATCATAGATTTACTGCTCAAAACAATTTGATGTAGTTAAGAGCGGACCTAATTGTATATAATAAACTTAGTCCTCGTTTACTGCAATTTTTTTCTGGTAGTTAGATATTTACTATTGATTTATATGACATTTGTAAAGGTAATATAAAATTAAGCATTCCATCGTACGTGTTTAGTGTAAAGTGAAGTCATTGGTGTTAAGACTAATCATCAAAATCGTTAAAACGTTAAAACCGATCTTATCACTTGGTAATAAGGTGCAAATTGAAACTGCCATTCATTGAAAGAAATTAAAGGATTCTAGTGCTATAGTTTTAAAGAAGGAAATGCTCGCGCTGTAACACCACAAATGTATTTGATAATAATATAGAAAGGGGAACCTTGGTCAAAATAGTAATTGTGCTAACTTAAAAACTACCCAAACTATTTGAAGTATGGTGACTATGGATGAAATTAGCTTCTTCATAGTAAAGACAAATCATAAGAATGCCGATATATAAAAGAAGAATTTGCCTAGTGCTTCGTTCAAAACGTTTTTCAGGCAAAATTATATTTTACCGTAGGCTCCCCTAAAACCGGTCTTTTTAACGATAACATAGTTCTAGGTTTAAGCGAAATGGTACCAGTTTTTATTCAGTATTAAAAATAGTGAATTTTGTGAGACTTTACAACGACGTTGGTACATTTTTTATGATCGATGTATTGTTTAGTTATTTCGAACAAATCTGTCGGTACCGTAAGCAGTGTATTCGCCAAAGATAATGCATAATTTAATATTAATTAATGCATAGTTAGGTTTAGGGTTACAGTAGGTTCACGTATATTCATTGGCTGCCATATTACATATCCGGTGATCGCCCGGATCGACCGACATGTACCGACTTTGAACTTAGATGAGTATGAAATAAGGTTTAAATTCGAACTACTATCGAACCCTGACGGATGGATTAGGGTGAAAGTGAATAATATTCTGTCTCTTATGTTCAAGATCTATTCTCGAATATAAGCATGTAGCCGGTCGGTCTGGGTCTTTACATTTTTGCACCGTTCATTGGGGCGCGTGGAAAATAATGCAAAAGGTTTTGCCAAAGTGAAAATTTGAACGGCCTTGGAAGCCTTAAAGAATGGGCGACATCTCGCTCCAATGCACGGTCGAAATGCGCATTTAACACATTTTAATATTAACAATATATATTCAATCCGTATTAGTGTATTTCGATCCGTTCGGAATTCGATTCCGTACAAAATATTGTAAGTACATTTCGTTTCGGATAATTCTGTTATTTTTACACAGCTCTATTTTGATTTTAGTTAGTACTATGCTAATCAAACAATCGATTTGAATTTTGTAGCTTTATAAATTAAAAATAATAATTTATACTGTTTTTATTTATTTTCTATTCTTTAATAGAAATATCTGCAAAGGACTAATAATTATATGGCCTGTGACAATAGTTCCTGATTTGTTTTGTATTTATACGTTTCATGTTTAAGATGTTGTTTTTACTCGATTGCACTGAATTAAAGAATTTGCGGATGTCAATAATATTAAAAAAAAACTATGTACCTATATATACATATATAGTAATTTACACGGATTTTTCTTGTAATTACTGCACAATATTTATAATCGTAACTATCGAAAAAATATTTAGGCTGATGTATTGTTATAGGCGTTGTTCGATTTCTGACCTTATTTGCTCTGTAATTAGGTTGAAAATGGAATAATTATGAATATGTGATTAAGTCATACAAGCAGTAACATATTAACATATGCACGTAAAGTTACCACATTGAATGATATTTTTTATTTTGATCAAGGACAAAAGAAATTTCTTACTGTAAGGCCCAAATGTGTTTCGTTAATACTCAGAGTTTATTTTGAGCGACTGGTAGTTCGTGCACAGTTGTCACAGAGAAACTAATCTAGCGGAATAATTGCTTGTCTGTCGTGACATTCTTCTGATGCATCGTTAACTTTTGCTCTGTGATTTTGTACAATTCGGATTTTTAAAGTGCCATATCGTTTTCGGAACCTAATTTTCTAAATATATATAAGCATAATAGCCGATTCGAAATCTAAGTTTTTTTTTCTTTGAAATATTATTTAGTTTATCATTTGTTATTTCTTTCGCTTGACGCGTTTTTTTTTCGCTTTTTTCGTAAGTCAATTATGGTGCGAACGAGTATTTTATTGTATCGTCCTTGCTTTTTTACATTGTGGGGGCCTCCCGCCCAAAACTTCACTTTCAAATCACACCGTCTCTTTCTTGCTCACGAGTGCGCCATATATCCTTCTCACTCGCCGGACTCCTCCACAATGTATCAAGAGTATAGACAGCATAGTATAAGGGTCTTATTTCGTGATTAAACAACGTGCATAAATTAAATTATAAACGGTTGATGAATAGATCAAGCATGAGTTTACAATGAACATAATAAATGGATGAAAAATATGTCTCGTTTTTTTTATTTCTTTCTGTTGTCCTTGAACTACTAGATACTATATCTTTAGATTTATTATTATATACTAGCTTTTCCCCGCGGCTTCGCTCATGTTGAAGCCCAAACACTTTTTTCTAATAAAAAAATAGCCTATGTCCTTTCTCAGGCTCTAGAATCTTCTGTGTACCAAATTTCATTTAAATTGGTTCAGTAGATTTGGCGTGACAGCGAGACAGATAGACAGAGTTACTTTCGCATTTATAGTATTAGTATGGATATTTATTTCACGGAGGTAGGACCACGTAGCAGCTTCGGCTGTTGCACGAATGGGCGCGGAATGGAAATATTTTCGCGTTTCGTCTGGTGAGTGAGGTGGCCGGAGCCCAATTTACAAAAGGTTGACAACGCATCTAGAACCCACGGGTGTAGCAGATGTCCGTGGGCGGCGGTATTCACTTAACATCAGGTGAACTGTCTGCTCGCTTGGCAACCTTTCTTCGCATAAAAAAAAGAATTTATGCGTGGTCTGGAAAAGTAACCCAAATCTGATATTCACGATAACAATAATGGGAATAATTTCGATTATAGACCTATTCATGTCTTAGTATGTGGAAGCCTTTTGTGGGTGGCACTTCATATGTTGACCAAGAAATTTGCTTAGGTGACGATACTGTGCAAGATTTGTAGGAAATGGATATCTATTAGTTTTTTTATACGCATGAGAGAGTAAGTTGTCGAGGCCAATTTAATTCCACTGCAACAACGACCGTGCATTATATAGTAAATCCTCATAAGAAAATTTTAAGAGATAACGATTATAGACTTATATAAATACTAGCGACTCGCCCCGGCTTCGCACGGATACATTGTATTATACATATAAACCTTCGTCTTGAAATCACTATCTAGT